CATGTCAACCGCGAATCGTTTTAATGCATAAAGTTATGAACCAAAGGTAACTTGATAATGATATGGCATGCATATATATCTCCAAGTCTTTGGTGTTCTGACGACAAATCTCCAATATTCTTTCCCCTTCCAATTCCATCCCATTCTGTCCACAGCTTGTAAATGTCGACCAAGGGAAGACAATCTAGTTTAATTTGGTATGTTAGGTGGGGTGGAGTAGACTGAGCTAGAACCCTTCAGGTCCTTTGGGTTGCTTCCTGTAAATTGCCAAATAAATCTGATGACTTTTCCAAGTTATACTGATTTCCAACTTTAACGTCAAGCTCTATCATCCATCGTAAGCACAAGATAAAAAAGTAATCACAATAGCAATCTTTATATCATTTTTACAACATTTTCATGGGTTTTTTGAAAGGTATAAGTTACTATAATCAAGGACCAAGAATTTCCTTGTACTTACAACCAGAACAAGCAGTTGGTAGCTCCTGAAACAAAAAACAAACCAACCAAAGCCACGATAACAACGTGACCAAGAAACAATTCCCAAGAAAACCGAAATATATATATATATATATATATAAGAATAACCTATATAATTATAAACCAAATCAATCAAGAACCAGAAAAAAACAACTCTGAAAATGGCGAAATCAACTCACAAAATAACAGAGCACAAAACGACTGCACAACTGCATCACAAAACTCTTCCAACCAAAATCCCAGAAAACAGTTGCAAAATCCAGAACAGAACAAGAATAAAAATCCACAGCACAATAATCGCTGCAAGAACATCAATCACAGCAAACACCATGACCAAAACAGAGCACTCTCAAAGAGAAATAACTAAGTTTTTAAGATTTTAGGTTCGGAATTTAGGTATTTTAGTTATTTTTCATAATTTAGTTTAATATATGTTGATTATTTTAGTTTAAGTTACTTTAGTTTAATTTTGTTATTTTACTTTAAATTATTTAAGTTTAGTTATTGTTGATTTATTTTATTGTTTTCGTAGGAAATTTGATGAAAAGACTTAAGTTGATGAAAATCTATACAAGTATGGTGATAATTTTATTCGTACATACTGCAATATTTTAAGCAGAACTTGAGCTACAAAAGTTTAATTGACCTGATTCTTAAGCCATTGGAAAGCTAAACGATAGAGTTACAACTTTTTTCTATACCACTATACCCAGTTCAGATCAGATCAAGGTAAAAATCACATTTGGAGAGGCTGAACTGATACAAATTTGTGCAAGACAGCTCATGGAATGAAGGCCACGACTTTGAGTTGCTCAAGGCTGTGGTGCCAAGATGCACCAGAGTCCCATAGGAGGATCCAACAGCATAGCGCTGTGGTGCTGGTGGAAGTTGATGCACCATACATTGGTCTGAGACCACAGCGTCACGGCACCAAGGAAAGCAGAGTTGCGATGCCAGATGAACTTCCAAAAATATGCTTTGATGGGATTTTTAAAAGTAGGGCTTTTGAGGACTATTTAAGGAGCCTTTTTCAAAGGTTTTCAAGAAGAGATAACAAGCAACTATACTAAAGAAAAAGAGTAAAAAAAAAACAAAGTAAGAAAGTAAGAGAATTCTAGGGAGAATTGTGATAAAAAAGCTTCCAACTATTAGTTTCTCTCTTTACTTTTGGCTTTCTCTTACTTTCTTTGACTTGGATAAATGGTTAATTTTCTTTAGATGATGTCCTTAGTTAATACTATGAACTAATTTAATTTTTCTAAGATTACGATGGAACTCAATACGTAATTTAAATTTTTAATCTCTCTTTTGCTTATTTTCAATGGAATATGAGTTGTTTGTTCTAATTTTGTGTTCCATGCTTCTAATTGCTTGATCACCAATTAGATTGATTTGGATATCTAAATATAATTCGATGAAGGGAGTTTAGATTAGGCCATGAGTGGAATAGCATGTGTTCAAATTCACTTAGTTGATAAGGTGATTTGATTTGTATATAGGATAGGCATATACTTATGTGTTGCTTGTAGCCAAGACTAGAGCACAAACTTAATGAATTTGTCTTCAATTGAATTTTGTAACGACCTCTTCCCCTGATCATTACTGGCGTTCGAGACTTGCAAGTAAACCTGCCAAATCTTGAACAAGCCTTAGTTGAGATTCCGAACAATTTAAAATCACCTTCAATACTAATGCTATAGTTTAATTAAACCAAATAAACACAATATTTAAAATGTAGCATCTAGATACCTATAACCAGGTTTAATAACTCCAAAGTGATTTTAACATCACATGTGGTATTCATTACACAACCTCAAGTTTTAGCAAATACATATCCGATTGACCATTAATCTTTTTAAGTCTGAATATTTGACACAATACGACCTCTATGCAATGGAACGACTCGGAGTGGAAATCTAAGAGATGCCATTACCTACGTCATAGCGAATCAAGGTTTGACGAGACAATATTCTCAAGCTAGTCACTTATCTGCAAAAGAAAATAAGGGGGTGAGTCTCACAGACTCAGTGATCATCAACTCCGTGAGTAACGTGTAGATGGAAAACAAGCTAAAGGCAGAAGATTAAAAAATTAAAAATATAAGAATATATGTAATCAATTTAGCTCAAAAAGGAATTTGTGCTTTATATGTAAAATTAGAAAGTTACTGCAAGATATTCATTTAAAATCACGTATCGAACCAATTCAAGTAAGATCTCTACCGTCAAAATCCTTTAGCAACTTACTTAAAGCAAATAAGTAAAATACAAGATTCTTCCATATTTGAATTCATTCAACAACTTTACTCAAAACAGTCCATCACAAACATGCATGCTCCAGTAAAATCAAAAGTTATCAATGCTTACACACAATTTCGCAAATCACCTCATACGCGAGGAGTTAAATCCAACATCATAGTATAAATAAGGGAGCTGTGGAAAGTCTTATAGTTCTCAGCATGCGAAAGAACACGTATTGAAAACCCAAACAGATATCACTCTCAAGTAGGTAATAAAAATATAGAACTCGTGGACTTGCTTCCACATAATAACATCCGGGAGCTCTGCTCCACCAGATCCCCACAGCCATGGCAGTCTCAACGATGTTGGCTAACATCAAAAAAATCAAGCGATCGCAACCGTGTATATCACTTGTGGCCTAGCCACATAAATCAACCCATGGCCTTGCCACCTATATATCATAAATAGTGGCTCCAGCAACGTCTAACAGCCCATCTGCAACTTAAAGGTTCTCTAGCTAGAGCTCACTTGTGCACAAAGGTCCCACTATCCTGATGTAACATTCAACCTACTCTCGAATCTCTTGGTTCGGTAAAATTGTTTAAAAATCAGTTTAGGTTCTCAAAAGCTCATTTCAAGATCATTTCCTAACTATTCAATATGATAACATGATAAAATCCCTTATAAGACTTTATATCATAAAACCCTTTGCATGAGGTTAAAACATCAATCCATATGGTGGATATATGTTTTGATCATGAATGCACATCACACAAACTGTAAGGAACATTTTGACATAAATTATATTAAAAAGCTTGTTTCTCGATTTTGAAAAAATCCTTTACATATATATAGCTTATATATAAATATAAATATATATATATATATTCAAAACCATTTTCAAAATCTTGGCATCCACAATTTCCTAGTATCTCTACCAGCTCATGCTTTCCACCAATTTGTATTTAAAGTAATTCAACACACATATATATTTACATAGTTACGGGAATTTTAAAATAGACACCCCCTACTTACTATATAATAGCGGGATGCTACATCGCTATTGATTCGAGTGTGTATATAACTAATTTCTACTTACCAGTTTCTCGTTATCTCGTTCGTCATGCCACCATGGCAAACTTCCTCTACTTATACGCTTTCTAGGAACTGTAACACCCCGTACCCTCATTTAACGATTTATGAGACTCTATGGATGATAATAAAGGTTATTTGATGTAAGTTTGAGTGTTAAAGAACGATGATAGGTGAAAAAAATACTTTTAAATAAAATAATATTAAAATATTAATATTTTATTTATCAGTGAAATTAGTTAAAATAGAGAGTTATATGACTAATCCAAGTGGGGGAGAGGAAGAAAAACGGAAAATTTGGAAGAAAACAATGAGGTTAGAGGGAACCCGTGTGCTTTGATGAA